ATATATATTTTAAATTATGAATTAAACAATATTTATACAAATTATCTTTTAAAGTAGTAACTAATTACATGTCATCAATATATGACTCCATGAAAAATTTATGAATATCATCAATCCATTCAAAAAAAAAATATTAGAGTAAACTAAATTTCAAAAGAAATAAAAATATAGGAAGAAAACATATATCACTTAACATCAATGTGAAAATAAAGAATAACACTCTATGGTTTACAACATTTACCAATTCAAAAAAATATCAACATGTTTCAAAGCTTAACATCCAAGTAATTCAAACATTCATCGTAATCATACCATACAACAATGTATTTATCCAATGCATATAAACAACATCAAACAACCCCACATCACATGCAAATACATCAACTAATGTATCATCACACATTCACCTACACATGTCTCTTATTGCACCTAAGTAATTTAAGTAACTTTATCCTGCTAAACTAACTCAATCATTGTCACGTCTCGTGAGTCTGCTAGATCGATAGTCAAATTGGGATATCAATCCTTATTGTTTGATTTCTCGAGTGTCATTACTTACATTAAAAAAGTTTGGTTCCACTATCAGGACTAGTATAATTGGGTATAAACGTACCACAATCTTGATATGCATTACCAAGTCACTTAAGAAATTAATTCACTAACTATCCTCAATAAATCACACAACCTTCCTAATAATTAATTAAGGATTGTAGGCCTCAACTTCATATTTTGTATTCGACATTGATTAAGGATCTAGACAAGACTTAATAAATTCACTCTCAGAGTTTCACACTTACTCAATAAGGGTTTTCAACAACTAGCCTCCTAGAATGGCACACCAATATTCCCTACATGGGATATTCAACTTTCAAATTAACATTCTTTCATCTAGTCCTAAGTCAATTAACATGTTTTAATGTCTATAGCATTCTCAACATCAACATCTCAACATACATCATTTATATACATTACCCGAGTCAATGAATATAAAGATCAAATCGCATCAATTATGCTTAACATACCGATGCTTAACAACTCAATAATGTTAAAATATATTTATAATAAAATGTTTAGAAAAAATCAACTTAATTTTAATATTTCCATACAGTAAGCATACAATGACTTTAACCTTCTTCTATTTCTATTAATTTTTATGCTGCATCATTTTATATCATATTAAAATAATAAACATAGGGTATATTTTAATATAATAAATAAAGTTAATATATTTATTAGAATAAATAATATAGTATTAGATACATCCTTTAAAAAAAATAGACAAAAATGATATATAAAAAAAGAAGATGAAAGCAGTAGCAAATTTCTTTAAAAAATATTACATATTATAAAATAATTGAAAGTGTAATTTAAGAATAAATACTCAATTTTAAATTTGAGGGATAAAAATAAATTTACCTTAAATTTGAGAGACAAAAAACATATTTAAGCCTAATAAATATGTATATCTTTTAATACATGAATGAAAATTATAATATATATATATATATAACTTAAATATTAAAAAATACTTAATAAATACTTTTAAAAAAATAATTATTTAAAAATTTGATAGAAGTTGCTTTAAAAAAAATAAAAAATTACATATTTTAATAATAGAAATTAGACAAACCCATGAATAAAAAGAAAATTAATAATTAACATGGTCTCCGATTCTAGCTATATATAAGATACAAAAGTGATTTTGGTTCTAATTATAAAACATATGAGTCTACTTAATTTTAAATGTATTAATTAATATATTTTTTTATATTTTTAATTTCTAATGAGTATATTAACAGTATTTACTTATTTTCTTTTTTATAAAAGTGAATGTATTTATTAGACAACTAATACTATAAATTATGTATGTTGATTAAACAAAATTATTCATTAACTTTTGAGAAATATCATTAAATATAGTATAAGTATCTCTAACACAGTTACACTATTTAATTTAATGATATTTTTTAAATAAAATTTTAAAATATAACATCAAATAATAATTAATAAATTTAACTACTTTGATTGATATATGTGGATCCAGTATTATGTTAAATTTTAAAATAAAAAGAATAATTTTATTTAAAAAAAAAAAAAAGAACGACATAATAGAGGGTGTATAATTTTGACGCATGACAGCTATGATTTCTTACCTCACACGCATTGAATCGAAACCAAAATTGGTCTGAGATGCTATGCGAGTGAATTAAAACTTAAAACGCGCTCTTTCCATTTCCCAGAATCCAGATAGTGACAAACGCGGGGTTGACCCCAAATATTCTTATTTTCTTTTTAACACACCGCTACTTCCTTAAATTAATTATTTACTACTATGTTCATTTTAAATATGTTTGCAAAATTATCTTAATAATAACTAAAATTTTATAAGTTATAATGATGGAATGTTATAAACGACATGATTAAATTGAAAGTATTTTATTTTTAAAATAAAAAGTTTAAATTAAAGAAAAATATGACCATATAAAATTAAAGTCAATTATTAGTCTCTTTAAATTACGAATTGTTTAGACAAAAATTAATTTCTTATAACAATAAGGGAATAAAGTGGGTTGATTATGAAACTCACGTCAAGTAAAATAAAAACTCAATTTAGGTTCTTACATTGGAAAAAAAAATCTTAAATCAACATTAAGGGAGTCATAAAATATACATTAATAATTATAGATATTTTTATAATTAAACTTTTCAAATGTCACGCGAAACACATATTTTATATAAAGTTGGTCATGTTTTCATAAATGAGTAAAATGAATATATAATAAATAATAATAAAAAAAACAAGATTAAAACATAGACTACCTACAATGGATTTAATCGGTTAAACCAAATTAGTAAAATGTCTAATAACACCAGACCTTAGATTGAAAATAAAGTGGTAAACCACGAAACATCCAATTAATGTATGTATCCATCTTAGTCAAACATTCGTGTAAGTTTTCACACTTCACCCGCCACTGTCTCCTCATATTTTGGGGCATCCACTACTGCTATTTGTATATTAAGAAATATTTGAAGAGTATAGGTTAAATACAATGTTTATTTTTGTAAAATGGTAATAAATACTTTTATGTGTTTAGTTTAGGAACATTTATTTTCCTTTTATTTAAATCATACGATCAATTTTAAAAATTGTAGTACTCTTATATGTACTATAAGTCTTTGAGGGGGCAGATTTATTTAGAGTTTCTACGTACTCATGTTACCCACATGCACCTCCTTGTGTTATTTTCTTGTAATACATAAAAAATATGAGAGAGTGCTTTGAAATAGGGTAGTGGGTTGGGATCATTTCATGTATGACTATTAATGGAGTAGAAAGAGACAGAAACTGCAATTATATATATGGATGGATACTTGTCTGTCCTTAGATAGAAAAAATGAGGAGTGGAATAATTCCTTATTTTCCACATGACAAAAAATATCTGTATGAAGCTAAAGCATATCTACGAACTACGATGGCATAGGTAACATAATATTTTGTTTGACTAAGAAAGGTCAAATTATGAAAGCTCGATGCACATTAATATACTTTTCTTCTGAAAAAGACTCATTTGGACCCAATCAACGCCTCCAAAACCCAACCATTTTCTACTCTGCTCCTCACAATCTCATTATCTCATCCAGAAAACATAATTCCACTCAACTTTTATCTGTGGAATTTTATTACATATCTTGTTTCGTATAATTATAATTTTTTTAAAAATTTATACAATAAATTATAAAAATAATATTTCCTATTCTTTTTACTCTTCTGTATAAATATTTTAAACTATAAAAATCAAAGTTCAAAAAGTGTGATAGTTTTTATTTTTAATTAAATGAAAATAGAAACTAACGCACCAAACTTTAAAGCTTTCTGTACAATTACTTGAAAGTTGAAACTATATATAAAAAGACAAAGTAAAAACAATGTACCAATTTTTAATTATTCGTAAAAAAATTAAAAAAGCAGTAATATAAATATAAAACATTTCTACAAACTAGAAACGGCTAACTTTAACTTCAGGAAAAATGTCAGCTATTATTAAATGAATTTAAAGTGAATCTGATTAAATTAAATAGAGTAAAGTCGAATGATTTTATAAATAAGCTTTCCCATAATAATAACCATAATATAATAAATATTAAACAAGGTATAAATAAAAGATTTACATAAGAAAACATTTCTAAAAAAATGTAAAACTTCAGCTTGCCTTCTATTATTGTTTGGGCCCAAATAATGTATTGGTTCAATAGACTTTGGAAAGGAGAAAGAACTTAAGATGGCCCAACTTTAGAGAAACCATTTACAAAGAAATGAATTCAATAGCTATTTTTTCATACAAAAAGTACATTTCTTTTTAAATATATAAAAAAAAAACTCAACATTTATATGGAGCTAGCGTTCCCTATTGATTACAACAGTTGCACACTAGACAAGGAGAATAAAAGTAATTTGACACTACACTAGACAAGTTCTTTATCAAAACACTTCAATTTGATCACCGCATTGTAACTTAAACTACGGTTCAATCACCATTGGATGAAGCTTCAACCGAAAGGACTACTTCACTCCTATAAAAGCCAACCTTGGAAGGAGTTATACTCCATTATCATACCATAAAATATAATTAAAAAAAAAAGCGGATAAAGACAAATTCGGAAGTTGAAAATATCATTCCCGTGAGCCATTTTCTTTTTATCATGCAAATAAGTCCAAGGCTCCTCCCAGTTGTTTATTATGAGGTGATTCATCAAGAATGGATAGTAGTGGCAACTTAGGATGGTGCATCACATGCGTTTGATTTGGTTTATTCTTGTTTTTTACGCAATTTCTCTTTGAACACCCTAGTCTAGTCTCCATGGGCCATCCGATAGGTGAGAAAAAGATAAAGAGGAATGATGAAATAGACAGAGAAGGAAGAAAATAGCGTTAAACAGGTATTTCCATTGTTGGGAGTGTCAAAAGAATATTAGCCAAAAAAAGATTGATCAGATAATTACTTGCAAGAATTAATAAATGCGGACTTTAGAAATGCTTTCTTTTCTAATTTTGATTACCGTCACATAACATTGATAGCAGAACAGAACTTGAAGCTACCTTTTAGTCCAACTACCACTACTACCAGCACCGTCCTAACCTACTAACCCCCCACCCAATAACTTACATGAACCGAACATCAACAACAAGAGAGAAAAAATAAATAAAAAAATCGACAATAAAATGATTTTATGATAAAAGTAAAAGAAAAAGAAAACAGAACTACTATCACTTCACCGGTAGCTTCTGTAGGCAGGGGTATACATACAGCTCTCAGCAAACTTCACCAAATCTTTGGGTTGGGGAAGGCGAGTGGCCAATCCTGAGAAAAAAATGTAAACAATTTATGAGAAAAAAAAAGCTTCAAAATGTGCAACCGTAAAAGGTAAAACCTCCAATAGATTAGACAAAGAGCTTACCAAGCTCATAAGCCTTAGCAGCAACATTGGCAGCAATGTGTGCTGAAATCTTTCTGATGTTGGTGAATGGTGGGAATATGAGTCCCTTATCAAAGTTCTCTTGGCTCACTTGTGCAGCCAAAGCCTCAGCTGTTCCATCAAATAATGATGACATATCACTATCAGTAATCACTTATAAACCATGTTGCTTATAAAACCTATTGACTCCAAATCACATCATATGGATAATAAAATGCAAGTCTTTTGTGCACTTACAGGCAGCAAGAAGCAGGTCATCATGCACACGAATGGTTCCAGACATTATCAAACCGAGACCGAATCCAGGAAATATGTATGCATTATTGGCCTGTTGAACAAAGAAGCAAAACATCCAAAATTAGACCTTATTTTACACGTGAAAGTTTTAATGTTTGGTTAAAATTTCAAGGGCTTATACCTGGCCAGGCACAAACATTTTTCCCTCGTACTCAACTGGAGGAAATGGACTACCACTTGCAAAAATGGCACGTCCCTGATGGTGATGCACAAGAACAAGGGAACAAAATAAAATAGTTAGTATTGGTCAAATACTAATTAACAAAAATTGACTCTGTAGCAGTATAACATAATGAAAGCTTGGATTGTAATGCAAAAATACGAGTTGCTTGTGTTTACCTGGCTCCACTTGTAAGCTTCTTCAGCAGTACATTCTGACTGTGACGTTGGGTTGGAAAGAGAAAGAATAATAGGTCTCTGCAAAGATGACCATATAACAAAAAATTGCTCAGCTTTTATGAACGTGAAATTCATGGTAGGTACTAGGTAGATAAATAGGTTGCAATGGTACCTTGTTAATAGAAGCCATAGCCTCAATCACCTCTTTAGTAAAAGTTCTTCCTTGTCCCGATGTTCCAATCAACACTGTTGGCTTAATTTGCTGAAATAATAACATTGAAAAATGTTAGAACATTGAAACTTCTGTGTACGAGTGTATTGAACAGGAAGATCAATCATACATTAACAGCATCTACAAGATTTTTAACAGGTTCATGCTCGTGAGCCCAAGGCTTCTTAAAATGTTGGAGTGAATCTTTGCGGGAACTGACAATCAATCCCTGTAAAAGAACGAATAAAAGATTAATCAGATGGAAAATGACAATTTACTTCATACAGGTGGTGCTAAATTGGGTATTACACAACCTTTGAGTCCACCAACCAAATATTCTTGCGCACTTCCTCCAGTGGGGCATTTGTCTGCATCACAAATGTAGTTTTTCAATAAATCTTGAACATTTATGCATTGCTCACATCTCAACCTTGTCACCATCCTCCACTAAAAAGAATTCAAATGAAGTAACAACACTAAAAGTAGCCAGCTACCTGTTTTGATGTTTCAAGTGCTATGAGTTCTGCTATTCCAGTGCCAGCCTGCAACCGCAAAACTATACAATTAAGCTAGAGGGATAAAATGGATGAAACAGTTTGCATTCAAAGTGACTTTGAAAAATCTAGCTCTGTCAAGTAGTTCCATTCTCTTGGACCAAAAAATGCATAGTTTAATGCTCTAACCCGCCTCCCCCACCCCTTTTTTAATCTTTACTATTTAAATTAAAGTGATCAAACACACCCCTTTCCTTCTGTAAGACCAAAACAATGAACAACACAAGATCCCAGCATTATACAGACTCACCTCTCCAGCACCAAGGAATAAGAATCTGTGATCAGACAAGTTACCCCCAACCAATTTCAGAGCTGCAACTAGTCCAGCAAGGACCACAGATGCTGTTCCCTGGAACAAGGTAGATACGGTATTAGGGCCAAGTTACAAGTATAGTTAACATAGTATCTGAATTCAGTATACAAGAATCTCTCACCTGAATATCATCATTAAAAACCAGATGTGTTGATCTATACTTCTCAAGCAGATCAAAAGCATTGTGGTTTGCGAAGTCTTCAAACTAAATACATGGCATACCAGGTAAAGAAAACAAGAAAGTGAGATTAGCAAACACTGTAGTCCAATAAGCCAATAAATATTGTCTCTTAACACTGCTTAATACCTGAATTAGGACCTTTTCCCCATAAGTTTGCTTAACTGCTGTCATGAATTCGTGCATAAGTTCAGCATATTCCTGGAATCAGAGAAGTTGGAACAAAATAAATACCATGGCATATTAGGAAATTAAAAATGATTATTTCCATGTGATTCGTCAAGGAAAACAAATCACGAACCTGCCCAGTTGCTCGTCTTTGCTTTAACCCAATATATAATTCATCATTGAGCAGCTTCTCATTGTTTGTACCCACATCAATGGTAATAGGCAAACACTGAAAAGGATAACATTATAAGAGATGTAAGAAATGAAAGTTGCATCTTTTAACAAATTAACAGATCATTGCAAGTTTACAACACAGGCAGAACTTATAGATTAACCGTGGGCCAAATATACTTACAGCTGAAGGGCGGACTCCTCCAAGTGCTGTATATAACGAAAGTTTTCCCACTGGTATTCCCATACCCTGAGAATTCAGCAAAGATTAACAAAGGAGAGATTACAGCATCAGATCTTGTGATTCAATATAACTATCAAAAATATTAAATGTCAACACGTATAATAGAAATTACCTGACAACCAAGATCGCCAAGACCCAAGATTCGTTCTCCGTCAGTTACGACTATGACTTGAATGTTCTGCTCAGGCCAATTCCTTAATACTTCACGGATCTTCCCCCTTTTTATAAAGAGACAAAGGAACAAGAAGATCAATACAAACAGTGACTGCCTACAAAGCATTTCAGGAGGATAAAAGAGAAATCAAAGTCAAACTCACTTCTCTTTCAAACTTATATAGAGACCCTGAGGACGCATAAAGATGCTGCCATATTTCTGGCAAGCTTCACCCACAGTTGGAGTATATACAACTGGGAGTAACTCTTCAACGTGATCAATAAGAAGCTTGTAAAATAGACGTTCGTTTCTCTCCTGTAACACACCAACATAACAAAGTAAAAACATTAGTCCAATTCTATAATTTACCAATCAAACCGTGAGAAGAAACATCCCTCAAGATATTTTAATACAAAAGAAGTTATTTTTTTCCTTAAACATAGTTGTACACACGGCCACACCTGAAGATCCATCATTGCCATGTACTTCTGCAACGGAACTTGATACTGGCGTACGTGCTGGATCATTTTCTTCACCTGCCCAGTCAAGTAGCAATAAATTAGAATTGATGTTGTGCAATCTAATTGCTTTCGAAAATAATAAAAATAAAGTATTCAGAATACTCTAGTCAGATAACTAACCTGAGTTTCTTGAGGAATAACTGATGGGGGAAGAAGTCCACGCAGATAGTGGGCATCCCTCTCGTCTTCAGTGAAGGCCAGCCCCTTGTTGAAGTGGGGATCCCTCAACAATGTATATCCACTACAGACCGAGAATAATCTAAGTAAGAATACACATAATGGCTACATGCTTCTCTCTGGCCATATAGTACAGAAAGTCGCAGATAAACATGAACAGTATTATCTTCTCCATTAAAAAATATAATTGCACATAAACATTCAACAAACACAATGGTTAGAGAAAGGTGAAGGGAATGCAAAGTTGCAAACAAATAATACGAATGAGGACATGTTTGCATGCAACCCCCAAAAAGCAAAAAATAAAAAATATATATATATATATATATATATGTATTATTATGAGAGTGTAGCTGCCACTGGAATAAAAAATCTAGACAGATAGACATATTCAGAACTCGTAATATTTATAATAATAAATCATATCAGTGATTCAATCTGTCAAAAAAAACAAGGCTACATCAGTATAATCTGTTCATAATCTAAAGACAATAAATGAACAAATAACTACAAGATACACAAAGATGCATAAATCATGCAAATTAACCAGCACTCCAAGGATATAAAGCTGAAACAGAACCAAAATCTTTGCCGACATAAACTAACCAAACCGCACCTATTTAAGATCTCTCTATATACACACAAAAATAAATCTGTATGTTTCATCCATAACAAAACACCAAAATTTGTTCAATCAATTCTCAGGTACCCCCATTTGAAGGAGTGAAACCGACACAGAGAAGCACCCAATTTGAATCTAAAATAAGACAAAGTGAAGGCTAAAAAAAATATGGAAATGGTAAAATCAGAAGATCAAGAGTCTCACCTAGCCACAGAGACACTCCAAGGAGTGACAAAGTGGTCCTCCGTTGCCCTATCCTCGCCGTAGACATCCTGAGGGCCACCGGCGGAGATGGCGTTGTCGTCGACGTCAGCCACCGGGGAATCCTTTTTCAATTCTTTCAACGGCGTCTCCATCACAACGCTGCCGTTTCTGTCCCCGGACCTGCTGCTGCTGCTTGGGGTCATACACACCACCCTGAAAGGGCCTGAACGCTTTTTCTGCGCATCGGAGAAGCTGCTACACCCACCTAACCCTGAGTTGCTCTGCACAACAAAAGAAGATAATTTATCACCACCCAGATAAACAAATCACCAAATCTCAGGATAATCAGAGGAAAAATCAAATCTTTTTTAGCCCATAAATATAGTAAATTTTTGGCGACAGTGGATTGTTAAAATTACCAGGAAAGCGCATCTGGTTGAAGAGATCAGGATGGCGAGAGAGAGAGAGAGAGAGAGAGAGAGATTGTAAGAAAAGTTGCAAGTTTAGTGTTGAGTTGTCTTCCCTCAGTCTCTCTCCCTCTCAATTTGGCGCACGCAAGAACACAACACAACACAACACAACTCTCAACACAGATCACGAAGCAAAACAAAGGAAGCAACGTGAGGAAACACTCATCTCTGCTGCGACCTTAAAAAGGGTGGGTGTGCAAGTGCATCAACATCAACTCAACTTCTCCGGATATTACCTAACTACCCTCAACTGGACTTGTTCAATAACTATTTTTCTTACCTTGTCAAAATTATTAAAAATACGCAAAACAGCACACACATAATCTGTGGGGTCTCCACAATTCCCGTATTTTTAGCTTTTTTACTAATACCATTTCTTCAATTATTTAAGGACAAAAACACGTTTTTATTGTTTTGGTTAATAACTTAATATTCATACAACTACTCCTTACGTACTTAAATATTAATCACCTTGTGCATTAATTAAATATTAATTTAAAATTAAAACAAAATTTATTTAAAGTTGATAGAAAATAAAAATACCATTTGAGAAATAATATAATTAAAGTAAGATTTAGTGTAAATTTAGAGGTGGGGTGAGAAAGGAAATAGTGGTGGTGGTGAGTGTATATTGACACGTGGCGAATAAAAGGTTGAGTGGCACTGTATGATGTTATGAAAGGTGTTTGAAGCCGTGAGATCCTTCCTTTGAGATTGATGTCCGTTTTCCCAGAGATTCAATCATAAATTCTCTCCCCTGTCCGTTTCCTGTTTGGGTTTAGACGCCCTTCAGCGTAACAACAAAACAATTCCTCCCATCTTTCTACTCTTTCACTATGTTTTCTCTATTCAACTATATCTATTACATCAAAATACTCAAATCTATTTTTTCAATTTCATATAATTAATGTAATAACATTTTCAATTTCATTTTACATCTCTTATAAGATACAAAAAAATTATACTGTAATAAATAATTAAATACTACTAGTTTATTTATATATTACACGAGTCTTTAACTATTTTAAATAATTTTAAAAAAATAAGAACCAACAAAAATAATCTTTTAAATATTTTTAAACCCGTTTTGTGACCAATTTTAATCAGTTTTTTTTTTACTTAACCAATTTCTTATCATCGAAGTCAATGTATATTGAATAAACTCTCGATTTCATTTCTAAAATATTATTTTCTCTTCTGAATGCTCTTACGTAAGAAAATGATATAAGTAATTCTTTAAATATTAAAATTTATAATAGGTAGTCATTTAAATATTGAAAAAAGTTATCAAATCGGTTTCTAACTCGTTAACTAAATCCCGTCAGAAATAAATATCTCATTAACTAAAAGAATAGATATTCGATATTTAAAGAATTGTTATGTATATAATTTTATTATTTTATGAATTAAATAGAAGAGAGTTATACTATTATGATTTGAGGTAAATGATTATCATCCAAATACTAAATGGAGGAGCATAAATGTGGTAAAATAAAAAAATTCTGTGTGGTAAAAATGTTCTTCAAGCCACGAGGAACATAAATTAAAAAAAAAATGAAAACGACATACAACGGTACCTCTTACGGAGATGACAAACAGCATATTCGTTTCTGTGACAAATAATTACTCTGAATATACAATGGTGTTTTTGTTCTGTGTGATTGTTGTTTCATGTAATACCATGGATCATGGATGTCAACTATACTGGAATTTTACGGGTACCAAGAAAAGATACTCACAGACTAAAGTAGATACTAACTCCATAAATAAATAAATATATATATATATATATGT